AGCTGGCAGTTCTCAAGACTTTTGCAGACGTTTGTGAGATTGCATATGTGAATTTTTAACACATTCAAAGGGACAAACAGCTGGTTTACATTCCTTCTTCAGTGACAGACCTGAGTTCTTTTTCATCCTTGCTGCTTCATACAGTCTAATTAACTCTTCAGTGTTTACATTAAGGATGAAACATCCCTCACTTTTTTCCTTTTTATTGGCAAGTTTCACACGTTTGTTTTGAACCTTGTTTGAATTTGAGACTCATTTGGGGTTTCCAGGTTTGCTTGCTTTCCTTGTTTTCTGAATGAAATGTATTTCTGAAGACAGCAGTGTGGTTGAGATCTCTTGTACATATTTAGCGCAGTACCTAGACTATGAAGTTGTACTATTGTTCTGTAAAGAGGGTGAATAGAAATTATTGTAAAGCGTTGGGAGAAGTATAGTATTGTATTTGTAACAATATCGTTCTTTGTAAACATTTAATGATCTCTCTATATAAATATAAATATATCTAAAAATATATGTGAGCCTGGAATGTTGATACTGCACATCTACTGAATGAGCTATTTTGTTGTGATGTATTTACTGTGCTACATTCCTTATTTAAGAGAGCGCTAATGTCTGTAAGATTTGCAACAATAAAATACAAAACAAAAATACCTCAGACAAGGCTGGGCGTTTGCTGATACTGGTCTAGGGGTTGGCTTCCCAGTACCGAATGCGTGAACGCTTGGAAGATGTCTGAACTTCGCTTTTGCCACTTGGTCTGGAGTGGTACCACATGTGTCTCTGCAAATGCGAACCAGTGTTATTAGCTTGATTTTTAAAACAGCATTATTTTCAGGTAGTAAGTGACACTGGTGCTCCTAAATTAAGCTGATTCCTTATTTAAGGTTGTATCCCAGGTTTTACCATGTGAAATGTCACCATGTTTGAATCTTCCAAAAATACATTATTGCAAGATGCCTTTTATGTGACAGAAATACTATTTTATTGTCCACATAACTTTTATGAAAAGAAGCATATTTAATGAGGCCTCTTTATACTATAAAAAAAATTTTTCTTCGAAGATCATCAGCGTGGTTTATTCTTAAAGACCTAATCCCATTTCAATAAACAAAAAGTAGAAATGTGATATGTCTGTCCTTAGAATAAATCCTGGAACTGCCTGTGCCAAGGTTAAAAAATATTTGTATCATGACAGGTGGATTATGAAAAACATGATGGTGTTTGAAACTCAACCAGCAAAAGCCAACAGAGGAGCATTTCTTCAGGTGAGGCCTCACAGGACTTTCTGTGCTTCATAGCTTGTCATGAGTGCTTTGAAACTACAGAAATGCAAACATACACCACGGCTGATTCAGAAGGAAACTGAACATGGGCCTTCAGCCGCTGAGTGGCTGTTTGCAACATGAAATACAAATATTGCCAGTGTGGGAGAATGGAGTATTTCACTTTATTTGCTTGAAGGGTAGGTTGGAGAAACCATGAAGTCTTTGGCCAATGGTACAGCAGGCAGGCTGGGGTTGCTTTCTGTGTTTCCCTGCTTGCCACCCTCCATCCTCCTCTTTTTACTGTTCTTGTTCAAGCTTCACATTCTGATTTCTGTATGACAAATTTCTTTGCGTTTCAGTGGATGAGCCTAAGTCTGACTTTTCCTGCAGTGGTAGAGAGAGAATTCTCACAGATTTGCTGTCTTCCGTGGGGGACATTTTTCTTGCCCTCGCCCGTGGTGTTCCAATGGTTTGGATCCACACTGGGAGGATGAGCAGATCCCACCCCAGTCCCAGCACCCTGTAGTGCCCTGCAGGCTGGAGAGGTGGTGTAGGGGCTGTGCGTGGGGACTGACGGTGTCCGAGAGTGGGGCTGGGATGGCGACTTAAATAAATGGTGAGTGCGGGAGCACAGAGTAGTGATCCTGACCTGAAGAACATTTCACAGGGAGAGGTCGGTGACCCAAGTGTCAGTTCAGCTGAGTCGGTCTGGCGCCGTGCGGTGCGGCTCCGTGCGGATCTCGCGTCAGGAATGTCCCTTGGCTGCAGCATGAGTGTGGCCGGTTGATCGGGAGAGGAGGCCGCAGGCAGCCCCGCTCGGTTCTGGTGGTGACACCACCTGCATGTCCTTGCCTTCGCCTTGAAGTGCAGCAAGACGTTCTCCTGGGAACATCCTTCTTGTTTTGATGCCAGAAGTGAGCAGTGGAGTTGTTTTCTTCCAGGAAAATCTTGTAATAGCTCAAATGACTGAAATGGGGCAACCCTTGCGTGGGTGGGATCTGCATAACTTCTTGCACTCTGGTCGTAGGCCTGTTTGATGCTGTGCAACTTGGGGTTCCCAGCATCTGAAGGGAATTTACCTGTGGTGTCCCCTTTCTTTATAGCATTAGCTGTAATAAATAGCATTTTAAATGAGACTTTACAGTAGAGTCCAAGAGCCTTTCTTACTGGGATGATAACAAGCCAGCACGTCCAGGTGCAAAACACCTATGCTTTGGAGTTCTGGTTTTGCTTCTGTCAGTAAGGCAAGAATGATGTCCTACCATGAAGCAAGAAGGTCACTGAGCCAAAAGAGACCTTCTTTCAGGCAGCTTGTATTTTAATTAGAGTTTGCAAATTAATGACCTTCTTTTATACAGGATAGTGTTAGAACTCTGAACGCCAGTTTATACCGAGAGCCTGCTTTTTATCTGAAGGTCTGCATTTTATGACTGGAGTGTTTAATTTAAACCAAGGTACTGATAATGCACAAGGTTCTTGGATGCTGCTTTTGACGGCTGCTGCCGCGAGAGTGGTATGTAATCACAGCCCGTAGCGGCACAGGTTGCCAAGCTGCAGAGCCATGGCAATGTTTCTGT